TTTTTTTTTTTTTTTTTTTTTACAGTTTTTCACCAAACCTGAAGTTATAATTTTTTGTCTGAGTTGAGCTGAATGGTGGTCTGAGTATCCAGAAAGTCTGTCTTGAATATCACGCTTTGATTGTTCGCTAGGAAGGAACTATTCAACATGGATGCACTTGACGTGACATCCACCTAATAGTGCGGGAACTTCACACCCAAAATAAACCAAACAAAATAGGCTACAGGCTTATAGATGCATTGATGCTGAACAACCGGGATGCCAGTCTGATCATCAAAAGATGTTTTAAAGGATATTTTAAAGCTATTTTACAGTAAAAAAATACATTTCTTACACCTAATTTATTCAAAATATCTTTATGGTTAAGCCAACATTTAAATCATGTATTAGACGCGTTGATTAATAAAAAATTTTAAGTCATATTTTTATCTAATTTAGTTTAAAAATCTATTGGGACATTTTATTAGTTGTGTATTTCATAAAATCACGGTATATCTAATATTTAAGTAACGTATTTCATAGATAGGAAAATGCAATTTTCAATAACTTTTATTTGCATTTTTTGAATATTATTTATTTAATTGTTCATTTGATAATTTATAATAAATCTTAAATTGAATTAAGTAAAATACAAATTAATAAAAAAAATTTTTTATGTTTTTTATTATTTGATTGATACTTTTAAATATAGTTTTATTACTTAAGGGGAAATTATTTGTAATTGCTGTGATTATGAAATTGTGCATTTCATAATTTAAATCGTATTGCAAATATTTGAATCGTGTTTAACATAAGTAAATCTTAATTAGGCTGCAACTAATAATTATTTTGAATTATTTTGAATATTAAATTGATCAATCTGTTTATTTTTTCGATTAGTTGATTAAAAATTGAATAAAATGTTGCTTGAAAAATATTTTTAACGTTTTTTTTCATCTTAAATGCTAAATTTTTATATAATAAAAAAAAACGTGGTATTTTTGCTAGTGTAAATGGGTTGCTCAGCTAAAGTCATGTTGTAGAGTCTCTATACTCTAGTTATTGATAAATATATCACTATATAATTTATAACGATTATTGGAATAATCAATTTATAATTATGGTTAATCAGGATTAATAGTTTCAGCTCTAAATCTTATATTAATTATTTTATGGGACATTTAATTATTTCATAGGAAATTCACTTTTATGTATTTTAAGATTGGCCCTCTCTATACTTTACCTCATGGATTACATTACAGTGATTGTGAAGATTATCTCACGACTTCCCTGTTGGTGTTTTGTGATCCTCTGAGGGATCTCGAGCCTCACTTTGGGAACCACTGCTTTATAAAACATCTTTCTGCTTACTCAGACTCTGTTATACATACCAAACACAAACACAAATTGTCGTCTTGCTACATGTAGTGAGGACCATGTGTTGACTTCTATGGATTCTTGCCGATTGTTTACTTTTTCTACACCCTAACCCCGATAGTAGCTGTAAATATAACGCATTCCCCATGCTAAACTTGATCTAAACAAATTCAAACCTTAGACCCAAACATGCAAATCAGCAAAATACAAAACAAAGGGCAAAAAAAAAAAAAATTGTCCTCTTTGTAACAAACTGTCCTCAATTTGATGGTGAAATTGGGGAAAAACGGTCCTCACTGCGATGCCAAGACAGGAGCACACACACATGCGGTCTTATATAACCTCAGAGGCCACCTTTAGGCCCTCAGAGACCGGCTGATTGAACGCTGTAGACACGCCTCATCCATAATGCACACAGAGGAGAAACACTATGCCACGTCCTCTTGTCCCTTTTACCTTCCTAATGTTTGCTGTTTCTCTGGCCTCTGCTTGCTGCAGCAAAAATAAAAGCAAGTTAAGAAGAACTTTCAAGGCAACCAAAACTTTATAGAAGTGTGTGTTTTTTATTTGTTACTTGTTGGGACCATTTCTGAACATATGCTACATCTATGAGGACCCACCAGTCGTTATGGGGACCAAAGCCTCATCATTAGGAAAAGTATTGATCTTGGATTCGGTTTAGGTTTGATTTATTGTTAGAAAACGATCGAGTAAGGTTAGATACCATGTTGTCATGGCAAACAGGTACAACAGATGCATACAAGTGATAAACAAAAAGATTTCAACTAAAATGCTGCATACACACAGGAGCTTTTATTAGCTCATTTATCTAGTGCCAGGTCTGGGCATGAGCCTTTGTGGTGATAGATTTTCTTTCCTGCTGCTACGCTCAGCTGTCCAAGTCTTGTTGCTCACCAGGTTAATCAGTCATGCTATCCAAGTATAATGCAGCAGGGAGAATGCCCACATTTGTTGAGAGTGAGGTTACCGCTCAACTGTTAGTTACTGGTAAACGTTTGAAAGCCATTGTTGAGATTTGGAGATGTTCTCTTGGTTGAAGACAACAGTAATGTCCTAAACTGTTATGGTTTTCCCCTTTTGGGACCGAGTTTTTAGTTTTCAGTTAGAAGTTATTCTGTTTTTTATTTTTCCATTATATTCAAGCAGTCTTTAGTTACTCTCTGTTGCCCCCTTGTGCTCGTTTCCTTTCCCCTTTGCTTCCTTCTAATTAGTTCCATTCACACCTGCTCCCTATTCAGCTCATTAGCCATCCTTTGCTCGGTTCCCCTTATATACACCACCTCTGCAGTTACTCAGTGCTGGTTCCTTCTTGTTTTTGCTGTTTCCTCATCTCTGGCCCCTCACGTGAGTTTTCCCCTTAAGTTTTCTGTTATTTTGCTTCCTTGTTTTTTTTTTTTGTGTGTACTTGGGATTTTTGCCTCAGTTGCTTTATTAAATCTTCAATACTTGCCTCTGCCTCCTGATCTCTGCATTTGGGTCCTCAAAATCCTCCACTCAACCGGGACATAAACTACTATTTGACATATATAATCCTTTTAAACTTTCTTGAAAATCATTGTTACGTTCAAAATTGCAGGTTTAGTAAAAAGAAACGGAGTCCGCACAGAATAGGGATTTTTAGCTCCTGCAGGAGGAGAGAGCCACGTTCAGCCACATCTGCTCTCTGGTGGGTGTCCTCAGCAGAAGCCTTTTGTTAGCAGATCATAACAAATGGGGTGGGTTACAGAATATTGTCTGACAAGGCAATTGATCGGGTCATAGGACAAAATGCTCCTCTTGATTGAATCACAGAATAGAGTGGTCTCCCGATAACTGTGATTATCCTTGCACAAACCTCAGCAGTTTCTACCAAAGTTGCATGATAGTACAGTAAACAGAGTTAAGCATCTCATTTTTTATAGTTCCATATGCACATGCATTAATTTTATAATCATCATCGAATAAAGCTCATTTTAATCATTTTAAGACCAAAAACAAGAATGTTTTCTATTTATTTGGACCCATTTATTTTTCCCACCAGGATACCCACAAAGTTGTAACTTGGGTTTATG